AAAAAAATTGAATAAGGAAAAAAAACATAGGACCTAGACAATTTGGATATGAACTTATTCAGAACCAAGATTTACAAATCACAAAAAGGGCAGAAGGCAATAACCAAGATCAGATGTCGTCGTCTTCGTCGAGCCCTGCTTCAACTGCCTGGTCGCCGCCGTCATCTGGAACGCCGTCGTCTGGCTTTTGGAAGACTGGAACTCGAGCATCGGTGTCTCGGTGATCTGTGCTGGTGATCGCGTGGTGAACTGGTGATCGGAGCTACGTCTCTCGCAGTCTCCCGTCTTCGCGACTCGCGATCGCTATGTGCGCGTGTGCGGGTGTTGGCGGCTCGGCTCCTTGCCTCCCGGAAAGAAAGAGGCCGACGACTCCTTTTGCTGATGGGCCGCTGCATCTTCTCATTAATCTTAAATCCTAATGGACTATAGCTAAAGGGTATGGAGTATTATATACTTGGGCTTGGGGCCCCATCCCGCGAGGGCCCTCGGCCGTCGCACCTCCTGCCCACCCCTTAGGGCCGGCACTGCTCTGAAAGAATGTGCCGGCCATCTCGAGATTGATGAAGTCACCACAGATGTCTCGCTGTCGACGGGAACGTCGCCATCACTACTGAAAGCACAACGTCGTTAAATCCTGAAATAAATCTAGAAAAATACGAGCACACAGTGCGAAGTCGAGGACTTAGACCCGGTTAGACAGACAAAGAACCTAACCAACTGAGCTAGTTCGCCTGATCCTGGGTGAGTTGTCGCCTCACAGATTGAGACTGAGATAGCTCTGCGCTCTTGAATCTTGACTTTCAGGCTTTGGATTTCAGAGTTCAGACCTTGCAAGTCTCGTGTTCAAGTACTTGGTTTCACACTTAGCAGTAAACATCATTGCGATGGGCAAGTTAACGGAGGTTATTGCTATCCTCATTGAAAATAAGGATGCGTTTCATCGGATGGCTACGGACTCACTCCAGTCTGTTTGGTGTGACTCACACTCACCTCTCGAGTCACACGAAGCTTGACCAAGTTAAAGAGTCACCTAAGTAGGCAATCCAAAGAGCAAAAGGCAATCTGCATTGGAAATTTTTCCAGTCCTATAATTTCCAGAGGTTCTTGACCTAATACATGCCTTCCAAAAAGGCTCTAAACCATTTTGGTCTGAGTGTGACAAAAAAAAATGGACTAGTTCTTGAAATTTAATTAGTCTGTTAAAATTTGAAACCAACAATTGTTAAGTAAAAAACGTAAAACTCTACTACAAGTTTCTTGCTAGCTACTTTATTGATGCAAGTGGATTGCACGTGTTTCCCACTGAATTTGTCTCTGTTTCATGCGGAGCCGTTTGGATGTGAGAATCGGTTCTGATTCTCTTCAGAATCACTAGAAACTATGCTAAGCAGTCAAATACAATATTGTTTCTAGGTACAAACATTTGTAACGATTCTCTCTTTTGACTAGAGATCCTCCTGATTCTGATTCTTGCTTTCCTACCTCCCATTTAATCGAAGTACTTGTAGTGATCCTCTTCAAGTGAAACTAATTAAAATTTGTTGCTTTTGAATTGTTCTTCGTCCATAAAAAATGTCATTTTTTTTGTAAAACTTAGATATTTTAATGATTTTTTTCATGTAAAACAATGGTTTTCACCACTCTTGAATAACCAAGATCCGCCCAACTAGTCAAACGATTTGATAAAGCAATTTTGATTCACCATAAGAAACATTTCTGGAAAAAGAAACTGAACCAAAACGTTTTTAAGGGAATCTGGATCGCTACCAAACGCGCTAACATATATACCCATTAATAGATTCGAAAGAGTGCAGATTTAATCAGACCGGGCGAATAATTCTCAAATTTATTCAAACGATTTCTGATATGCATTTTAACAATTTGTTTTCATGAAACTTAGTTCAATAATCTGGTGGGGAAAGGATGTCAATAACTTTGTAACACTTATTCATCACTAGATACTTAATCATTAATAAAGAAGTAAATTTTACAACTTTCCCTTTCTCCTCCCACCCCCATTTTTTCTGTAATGAACGAAGACATGGATGTCAATTGTCATGAACACCAAAATTTGTATCATGTCCCCTCCATTTCAAGTTATAAGATATTTTGACTTTTGTAGATATATAACTTTTTGCTATGCACTTAAATACACACTATGCCGAGATATATAAAAAAATAATGCATTTAGAAAAGTCAAAAGTCTTATAGTTGAATAAAACGGAAGGAGTACTTTGTTTTAGGCATATATATGCGGACGCAGAGTGTGGACGATTCCACATTATGGATGCGTTCAGATTCTAAGTTTTGACCAAAATGTTCAATCTTGACGCCCCATCATTGTCTCGCATACCTGTTGGGATTTGTCTTTTGCCTCTCGCCGTGCGCTAGTTTATTTGCCTTGTTTTACATTTTCCATGTAGTAATTACAAGTTTACTACCGGATCACCACCAACTTTTGTCTGATTTCTGTGTGAACACGAATCAGGTTAGTTGCTTAAACAAGTTGTCTAGTGACTCAGTTGACTTGGGGACAGAACTAAATTGATCGATGATAACGAGTTAATGACGTCGACAACAACCAGCACCGGTACGCGGTAGTAGTCCATTCTGCAAGGTTTACATTTAAAACATGGACTCTGCCCTGTTTTCTTGTTTTGTATTTTTTTTCATAAAAAAATGACCTGGAAGAATTTGCAGCAGAAATATGAAACAAAGCATGCAATAAATCTAAATACATAAGGCTTGTCTTGGGCGGTTTATGTCCTAACTAGCCCAACAAAATTTTGGCCATGAACAAATTTTTGGAAAGATAATGACGCTTGGTTTATAGACATATGCCAACTAATTACAACACAGGGAAAAATGTGCGGGGAATGTAGACGTGGTTAAGTCCGGTAGAGTTGAGAGCGACACTAGATCAACGTGATCTTGTTCCGTAGATAAAAATCATAAGAAATAAAAACAGTCCAAAAGGGTCACAAATCCAACACAAGCTTGATTGATATGCAATAACGTTTTCTTAATAATAAGTGGTATAAAAGACTTTAAAGTCCAATACAATAAATGGGAATCTGACATGTGATGGCATATGAAGGAGGCGAAGTCACGCTGAATTGTAGTACAGATGCCTGATCAATCATCAGAATTTCGCCCGCTATCTAGTTGCGCTGCCAAATTTCTCCCGACACACGCCTAACATTGGCCAAATAAAAAAAATCCTGCCAATATATTTTTAAATTTGGCTTGGCACGTCAGGGCAGCAATCCAAATTAAGCTGCCCAACAAAAGGTTATCTGAACATTTTCAAGTTATATTGTCAAAAGGGGTTTCATTACAACCAAGACGATGTATGTATACACACTTGCACAAGTAGGGGTAGTAGATAAGATAGATCATGGGCTTGTACGAAGAAGATTTTATTGCAGAGGCTTGACTTTAAGGGCTCCTGGTACGCAAGTTAGCTTGCTAGATTAGGAATGTTTTCCGGATGTGAGCAAAACCCCAAAGTCCAGCCCTCCGCATCCGTCTCCATCCGTATCATGGCAACGATGATGACGAAGGCCAGGGGGGTCCCCTCCCAGCTCCAGCCTGCCCTTTTTTTCTTTGCTTTGACTCTTGCAGGCAACACCACAAGGGGGGCCCAAAATATTAAAAAGCCCGGCCGTAGTAGGGGGCTGTAGGGAGGAAAACATTACAAAGCCGAAAAAGAGAGTTCTACCATCTGTTTGAAGCAAGCAAAAACTTTGCTGCTCCAGACTGCCTTTCTGCTAACAACAATGGTAGAGTATGAGAATGGACATGCATGTCGAGTGAGAGACTTTTTGCACCAAGACTGACGGCTTGTATCAGACGTTGAATATTGTTTGGTCGCACAAGAAACTATGAGTATTTTTTTCTCATTTTCAGATGAGAATTTGATTAAAAGGGGGGTGGGGGTGGCGTAGCGTGATCAATAAGGCAAAAACCGGCCTACCTCTACCTCGGCAAGCATTTCAAATCAGAAATAAAAATCCGGACCCCACAAATTTTTACGCATACAAATTCTAGAAACTCCTTGCTAAACCAAAAGAAATGGAAGCAAAAACATCAGCCAGTTAAATTACTGAAAATCAGTTATTTTATAGAAATAAAACAAATTTATAGAAATTAGTTTATTTTCATAAGAAAAAATGGGGGAAAAAACATCCTAAAAAGGAGAGAAGAAGAAGAAGCAACGCAAGAGCCAAAACAGGAGAGGCGGCGAGGGACCAGCGTGCAAAGAGCAAGCAATAGCAAGCCCCTAGCGACGACTAGCGTGCTGCGTGCCGGCCGGAAAGCACCAACTCTGTCCTCTCTCGTCTCCACTCCACTGCGGGTCTGCTGCTCCACTCCACTCCACTCCACTTCCTCCGTCGCTCGCTCAAACACAACACAGCTTCCAACGATTCCATTCCCAGCTCCCTCCCCACCTTTTCCTCCGTCCGTCCCCCCGTTCCACCCATCCCACCCTCCCAGCCCATTTCAAATCGCACCAAAACCCCCCGAGGCCGAGGACCTGGAGCGAGGCCGCCCCTCTCCGCACTCGCCGCAGCCAGGCACCCGCCCCGCGTAGATCCCCCATTCCTCGATCCCGTCGCTCGCCGCCGGCCAGATTCCGGATCCGCCGGGAGGTCTCGTGCGGAGGCGGGAGGCGCTGCTGTCTGTGGTCCGTGCCTGCCTGATCGGTTGCTGCGAGTTGGCGGCGGGTGGTGGTGCGGCGGCGGCGGGTCCTGGCATGGGGTTGCGGCGCCGGGGCATTTCCTCGACCAGGCGGTGGGCGGCGGCCTAAGATGCGAGGGCGGCTGGCCCGGGGAGTGGGGCACCAGCTCGGGGACCGCTTCTCGCCGTGCGCCGGCGTCCGCCTGCTCATGCTGCCGGCCGCCCGGGGCCCTCGGCGACGGGCATTGGGGCGCGCTCTTCCCGCGGGTGCTGAGACGCAGACGCGCGCGCGCGCGTCCGCCCGCCCGGGCCCGGCGGCCATGGGCAACAGCACGTCCCGGGTCGTCGGCTGCTTCGCGCCGCCCGACAAGGCCGGCGGCGGCGTCGACCTCGACTTCCTCGAGCCGCTCGACGAAGGGCTCGGCCACTCCTTCTGCTACGTCCGCCCGGGCGCCGTCGCCGACTCGCCCGCGATCACGCCCTCCAACTCCGAGCGCTACACGCTCGATTCCAGCGTCATGGACTCGGAGACCCGCAGCGGGTCCTTCTGCCACGAGCCCGCCGCCGACGACCTGGCCGCCGGGCTGCAGCGGCCCTGCAGGAGCTTCGGCGAGACCACCTTCCGGACCATCTCGGGGGCCTCCGTCAGCGCCAACGCGTCCTCCGCCAGGACGGGCAACCTCACCGTCTCCCTCGCCGGTGACGTGCAGGAGCCCGCCGCCGCGTTCGAGAGCACCGCCTCCTTCGCCGCCGTGCCCTTGCAGCCGGTGCCGCGGGGGCGGGGCCGCTCAACACCTTCCTGTCGGGGCCGCTGGAGAGAGGATTCGCGTCCGGCCCGCTGGACAAAGGCTCCGGCTTCATGTCTGGGCCATTGGACAAGGGAACCTTCATGTCAGGTCCAATCGATGCTGGCAGCAGAAGCAACTTCTCAGCACCTCTTTCCTATGGCCGGAGGAAGGCTCGTTTGGGGCTTCTTGTACATAGGATTAGCGGACCCATGAAAACCGCATTGTCCAGAACATTCAGCAGGAGCTCACAGAATCCAGGCTGGGTTCAGAAGTTTCTGATGCATCCTATGGCTCAACTGCCCTGGGCAAGGGACGCAAAGTCCAGATCAGAAGGCTCGCAGAATGGGTTGGAACCTGGGATACCTGAACCTGAGTATAGTGTGACAAGGAACCTTCAGTGGGCTCATGGAAAGGCAGGGGAAGATCGGGTTCATGTTGTTCTATCTGAAGAGCAAGGATGGCTGTTCATTGGAATTTATGATGGTTTTAGTGGCCCTGATGCACCTGACTTTCTAATGAGCAATCTATACAAGGCCATTGATAAAGAACTGGAAGGACTGCTCTGGGTTTACGAAGACAGCTCTGAAAGGTGTGACCATGTATCTAATCTTGAAGAGGGTGAATCAGTTGCTGCTTCTGTGAATGCTTCTCATGATGATACTGGCCAGTTCCAGAGTGACAATGGGAAACAAGAACAACTTGGTAATTTTGGAAAACAAAATGTCTTGCCTGGAAAGGGTGGTGATGAAAGTGCCTTGCAAGTTCAACCAAACTGTACCAGCTGTGAAGAGAAAGATTTGGCTGCACAGGATTCAAGTAGTGAGAAGTTGGGCAGGGATGAGATAGTTGAGGAAATGGCTGGAGCTGATCTGGGAAATGATCTCCAAAGTAGAGAATCCCACAACTCGAACAGAGGTCTTTCAGGTACAGATCTAAACACCAGCTGTAGCTGTGCAACAGAAACCAGTGCCTATTGTGATCAGCATGCCAAGTTCTTGAAAGAAAACAGAAAGAGCAAGCGTCTTTTGAGCTTCTTGAGATGGAATTGCTACAAGATTATAACAAAAAAGGTTATCTAAGGCGCCACCAGAGGAAAGGGAAATACCGAGCTTGCATGTTGCACAGGCAGGCACTGCAGAAGGGAGCTCAAGAAACACAGCTGAGATCTCCAGGTGTTCATTGGCAGCAACTGGAGAATGTTTCGATGATTCTGAAGATCTTGGAAGTTCAAGACATGCTGATAGTGTACTTGGCACAGATCTTAAAGAGTGTACAGGGTGTTCAGTATCTACATCTTCATCAGGGCACAAGCAAGTTACTGAGAAGATTTGTATTCGGATCAAAGTTGAGGAAGATGTACAAAAAGCAAAAATGTTGCAGAAGAAGTTTTTCCCATGGAACTACGATTGGCACAGAGATCAACCTCATGTTGATGAAACTGTTATAAAATCTTCAGAAGTCACTAGGAGATGTAAGTCAGGGCCAGTAGAGCATGATGCTGTATTGAGGGCAATGTCACGGGCACTTGAAATGACAGAGGAAGCGTACATGGAAATTGTGGAAAAGGAGCTTGATAGACATCCAGAGCTTGCATTAATGGGTTCGTGTGTCCTTGTAATGTTGATGAAGGACCAGGATGTATATGTCATGAATCTTGGGGATAGCCGAGCTATATTGGCACATGACAATGATCAGTACAATAGCTCAAGTTTCTCAAAAGGAGATTTACGACATCGAAACAGGTCAAGGGAGTCACTTGTCCGTGTCGAACTTGATAGGATATCGGAAGAGTCGCCGATGCATAATCCTAACAGACACCTAAACAGCAATACAAAAGCTAAGGAACTCTCAATATGTAGATTAAAAATGAGAGCGGTGCAACTGTCAACTGACCATAGCACGAGTATCGAGGAGGTAATAATTCTGTTAAACAAATGCTATTCTTGTTTTCACTTCTTAATGGCATCTGCTATCATGTACATATTTGACTTTGAGTTCTTCATCTACCAATCCTGCAGATTTAACAGTTCTTTTGATCAATTTTCTTTATTTCCTTAAGGAAACAGCGATACGATATAATAACTTCTAGTTGTGCAGTGTGCCTTAGTTAATTCATCGATGCTTTTTTTTTTCTCGAACACGCAGGAGACCTGCATATCATTATATTAAGCAATACAGCGATGCTAAAATATGCAGTCTCCTGATTCGAGTTGATTGTGGCACAGAATTTGATAGAATTGATTGTATTAGAGTCTACATCTCTTCATATATCCAAATATTTTACTTGATACTGTAAAATCACGATATTTGCTCTGTTCGCTTGGCTGATAAGCCATGGCTGAAAGTGCTGTTGGCTGATTTGTTGTGAGAGAAAAATACTGTCCGTTGGCTGAAAAAGTATGGCTTATAAGCCAAACGAACAGGGCATTGGTAAGTAGTTCAGTTAAGTTAACAGGAAATTAGCAATCGGAAAAGTTATTTAGAAAATAAACATTATGCTCTAGCTCTTATATGTGCTTCTGTGATTTTTTAGATACTATTCCTTTCAGTTGGTCAAAAATATTCAAACTCACCAGCTACCTTGAACTTTTTGAAGTACTGGTTTGGCCCATCATCATCATGTGTCCAAATGAATTGACCATAGACTTCTTGCTCAAAACTTGTGCCAGTGAATACATGCAAATCACTGTGCCCTTGTGTCCTGAACTGCAGCTAGATAGTCTTTTTTTTTCTCGAACATGCAGGAGAGCTGTCTATCATTGCATTAATAGAAGAAGAGAGTTACAGCACGCACGCACCCACCCCACTGTCATGATAAGCTATAACTGCCGCTTTGAAGACAAAGAACGACCCAACCCAACGAACTTAAAAACCCAAGCTAGGAGCAGTAAGGAAAGAGAGCCCCTTAGCTCATGCCGTGCACCAAAGCTGAGATTCCTCCCCAGCAAGACAAAGGGCTGTAACTAGGCTTGAAGAAACGCCATTGACTACACAGTCGCTTCTGTGTTTCCACAGCAACCAGCTAGATAAGAGTCTCAGCCTGACTTCTTGAGTTATCTAAGATGATCAGTTGAGCTTACTCACTAATTTAGCCATGCAGGAACTGCTAAATAAGTTCTGCAAAAGAAAAATGTTGACTCTAATATTTCTGTTTGTCCAATATACCAAATTCTATATCTAAAATAATTTTGAAATATAAGGATTGCTATATTGATTATTGAACATTAGTATACCTTGCTTGCTACAATTGTTCTGTACATCCTTTACAAGAGATCTACAGACCACAACCTAGTTTATTTGCATGTAAGCTCATAGATGACGAGAGGTCTAGTGCTAACTTCCATTTAATTGTTCTCTTTATGAATTCATACCAATTGATTTATAAATTTTCAGTTATCCGGAAGGTAATCTTTTGCAACCTTTCAACATTCATTTTCTGTGCTGGACATTGCAGCAGAGAAATGAGCCATCAGTACTAGTTTCTTCTTAAACTGCCTGGGTTCACATTATTACCTTTTTAGCATCTAGAGAACTTATTGCTCACTAGTTTGATGCTGGCCTTATATTGCCCGATCTTTAGATTGTAAGTGCCGCTTTTATGTACTTTCGTCCCAGTGTTTTACACCTGCAGACATTAATTTGGAAGGGTGTCTAATTGGCGCTGTTTATTACGTCCTGATGTAAATGAAATCAGGCATATCTTTCATCTTCTAGAGATGCCTTTGAATGAATCAGTCTGGTTTCTGTAGCTAGGTTATGGTTTTTGAGGTGTCCTGTGGCGCTGGGGGTACGCCTGGATGCCTAGGCGATGTGGCGTGACTAAAACCTTGTGGCGCCTGGGCTGGGGTACACCTCAACACCTAGGCGGCGCCTCAAAAACCATAGAAGAGGATATAAGACTATTAGTTTTTTTCTTCATTCCTGCTCAGAACAAATCCTCCAGTTGGTTCATCCAGTCTGTTAAAGCATTTAACTTACTCTTTCAAATTTCATTGTTAAATCTGGTTAGCGTTCTACCTTGAACTATTACAATGGTGACTACTGGCTACAATTTGTTTAACCATTCAGTTTTGTGATGATGCACTTCAGGAAGTCTTGAGGATTAAAGTAGAACATCCTGATGATCCCCAAGGTGTCTTTAATGATAGAGTAAAGGGACAGCTGAAGGTTACTAGAGCATTTGGTGCTGGTTTTCTAAAGAAGGTAAGTTCATATGACCTTGCATGCCTATGACTGATAATTTGTCCTACCTTAGTATGTCAAACAATTATGTGACTATGTCAGTAGTCTTTCATTTTTTTTTTATCATGCTGAGGTGTGATGTGCCTCTCATGCCAGAACCACATCCTTCAATTGTTTCTGTGCTGCTTGTGTTAAATAATGGAAACTAGGTATGTATTTGTCTGGGGTTTGATCAAGGCTAGTGTACACAGCAGACTAACAGAGGGCTCCATGTCCACTAAAACACCAGGAAAGAGTGAGCTAATATGCTATAGTCATTGATGCATATCATCTCCAATAGTTGTCATAATGAAATATCTTCCTATCTTATTTCATTATGCATTAAACTGCTACATGCTGGTTCATATGACATTAGCACACGCACACCTACAGTGCCTAGATTTCAAGGTGGCGGTTAGAATGTAGCCATCCCTTATTGCCTTGATAACCATGCAAAGGGCTGAAGAGGCTAGGTCTGGTGGTCACATCACTGAAGATGAACAGATTTTATGGACAATTGTGGCAGTAGTTTTTTCTTAATTTGTTTAACTAAACTTCAAATAAAAATTCCATTGGTCTAGGATGATCTCGGTACTTTCAAGAGGCAAAACATGTTTATTTTGTTGCAACATAATCTTGTGTTCAATTGGTTGAGTTGTCTTTTTTGCCTGTTACAGCCAAAATTTAACGAGGCACTACTTGAGATGTTCCGCATCGACTATGTTGGAACATCACCATATATCAGCTGCAACCCTGCTGTACTTCACCATCGTCTCTGCGCAAATGATCGGTTTCTTGTACTGTCGTCAGATGGATTGTATCAATATTTCAGCAATGACGAGGTAGTTTCACATGTGTTGTGGTTCATGGAAAATGTACCAGAGGGAGACCCAGCGCAATACCTTGTAGCTGAACTTCTTTGTCGTGCAGCCAAGAAGAATGGTCAGTTCTGCCTCTGCCTTAATTATTGATGGCAATAAGACTATGAAAGTACTTTTGAAATCTTAATTGTTGATGGCAATAGAAAAGAAATTTGTATTTTAGCTAAGTCATTTTTCTGGGTGTTGAATGACACATGCAGGAATGAATTTTCACGAGTTACTGGATATCCCCCAGGGTGACCGCCGGAAATACCATGATGATGTTTCTGTTATGGTAATCTCACTTGAAGGAAGAATCTGGCGATCTTCTGGATGAGTGTTGAAACATGGCCCAGTCTGTTCCTTGCAGCCTTGCTTAGTGTAGTAAATCTCAACTAGGAAAGGCACCAATGTCTTGCTGTCTTTATTTTTCAACCATGTTCAAATTCTGGCAATCCATGTGCCTTTTCTGTCTTCTACATTTTGGATTTGCGCTGCATTCTTGGGCAGTCCGAGTCCGAATTGACATATACAGGTTTTTCTCTTTTGTTATTAGGAAAAAAAAGGTTCTTTTGAGGGCAGATATGTTTTCCCGGTGTTGTGGGGTTGTTATTTTCTGTTTGCTATATTTTTCTCTTTGCCAAAAAGGACCGTTCTTTTCTAAGTTGGGGCACAGGTGGCGGGTGTTCAGGTTGTTGCGAAGCGATGCTGACTTGCTGAGCAAATATGCATTATACAGTTGCTTATGTAATAGTATAAATTGTTTTGGGGCATAGGGGTTGGAAGTTGCATCAAAGAGCAGCTTGTGCCGGTCACTTATGCAGTGCCTGTTGTCCTACTTTGTCAATTTGATCTGTAGCAGGCTTGTCCGTGCTCAGCAGCGTTTGATCCTTTTTTGACGCTGGGTGAAAATGGACCCAGGCACAGTGAGTAGCTGACTGACTTCCTCGAAGTTTGTCGGTGCACCACTCATGAAATTCAGCTGATCAGACAGACCATGACCTCCTTGCCTTTTGTTTAGATTCCTATTCTCGTTGAGGACCTGTTAGTTACAACCAGGAGGTTCAACAGGAACAAAAGATTCCAGAGGAATGTGGTAGACTGGTGGTTAGCCCATGATGAATCAACCTCAACTATGAGATAATGACAGTGTGATTCTGAACTTGGAATATATGCTATGACCGAACTTTGACCCAGCATTTTTCTGTGGAGCCTTTCACTGCTGGATTCCCCATTGGGATATGCTAGAGAGATGCTGGCTTGCTTGCATTCGGGGTTGAAAATTCTGGTATGGTACCATTGTTGTGTAGTTGGGGTTTGGCAGGTTTGATCTAGGGGCAGCGTAAGTGCATAGAGTGTGAAATGATGTGGTCAATTCTGAAGTAACTGCATGAAGTGGGGGAGTCTGTTGAGAGGACTTTTGAGGCGTTGAGCTTTAGGAAAGGGAGAGACCACAAAACTAGTTTTATAAACCAGAAAAACAACTGAAATATGGTTTGGTTCACATGATCACTTCTTGCCAAATGCACATTGTTCAGCATAGGATATAATCATATATTAAAATCGAGAAAAAAAGAACTCACAGAAACTTCCATGAATTGCACACTAAGAGATATACTCTTATTTTTTCTTTCAGAGATATGTAAATTCTGTTTGAGCTTCAGATCATAAATGTTGTAATAATGGATTAACTACAATCTAAAATTAGATTAGATGTACCCACAAAACTAGTATTGAATTGAGAACGAGCGCGTAGCTCAGTGGCTAGCTTCTCTGGTGTGAGAGCTGCCCTTTATTTCGTTGCCTCCGTGGTACCACGATGGGATCATGACATGCCCGTCCCCTACAAAATCAGTAATCTCAACAAGGACGCGATCTTCTACTCAACAATTTTGTTTATACTTTACACAGGTGGTGTGGTGTGAGTATATACGACCCAGATGAGAGGCAGCCAAAAAATAACTAGTACTGAATTGTTGGGCTCCTCAAGAAGCATCCAATCTTAGCCCATTTTTTAGACAGACCCACAAAATTGAATTGAATTGTTGGCCTCCTCCTCGCAGAGAGGAAGAACCCTCCAAAAATAGGCGTATGCTGCTTGGTGCAGCGGGCACACGGTATTCTTTAGTAAAAGGCGAAAGAATAGTTCGCTCTGTGCCCACTGCGCAGCTGCGTGCTCTACCTTCACTGCTGTGAGCCCTTGTAAGTAGCCGCGCTCCCTGCTCCCCTGGCTTCAGCAAGCGGTTTGGCACTAAACGGGAAATCGCCAGCCGTACCGTGCGCACTGCGCCCGCGGTCTACGCGAACGGGCCAGTGGCCGACTGCAAAAAGGCCTACGCTGTGGATTTGCATTTCCTGCAGGCAGAGCCAGACGCAGTGATGAATCATGATGCCCACTGGCCCAGAGGACTGAGCAGCCTAGGCAGCCGCTTGCTGTCCGGCCCAAACAAATGCTGTGAAGTGAAGCGCAGGGGCTTGCCGGGCTCGCCCGCCTCCCCAATTTCAATTGTCCATTTCAATCTGTGGTGACTGTTCCGAGTTCCGACGTGTATGTATATATATATCGGGCTTCCGTGAAGAAATCCAGACATTGGATGGTGCCATTGGATTTGGTCCTCGTTTCCACGCTTTCCCTCAACCTCCGTTGATTCCGAGCAGATCAAGGATTAATTTAAACGAGGTCTAGCACGTCCAATGCCATGGATTGAAGAACTTCTTTCACACACCATGTCCAGTGCAAGAAAATGGATAAATTTGTTTGCACGAAAGAGTATAGGCGAGTGTCAGAGTGCAAAAGAGTATAGATTGTCTCGTTAGCTTTACATATTTGACTAATATAAATGAAGTAATCTCTCTCTATACATAATTTTATTTTACTATTCTATAGGCTAGTCATATATGATGTTTTCATCAAATGTGTTATATGAACTGTACAACCCTTTGAGTGAGGAGAACACAGTAAGCTCAGTGAATACACACACTCCCTCCATTCTCTTTTATAAGACACACATATATCAAGAATCAAACTTTAAACTTTAACATTAATTTGGCTAACAATTTTTAATTATTATGATAGTTGGTATGGTTAGATTTGTAATTAAATAATATAGTATCCAATTATCATAAGTTTATAAACATAAACCACACCTTACAAAAGAGAATGAATGGTCAAAGTGTATAAACATAAGTGAACACCTTTATTCTATCCAATTATTATAAATTTATAGACATAATATAAAACAAATAAATGGTCAGAGTGTAATTTATGATAAGTGTCATATCAAAATCATGGCACCCCCTCTCCAACACCGCACCATCACAGCCCTACCTCTCGGTCCTTAACGAAAGCCCCAGCGCAACACCAGCTCCACATCGCCGCCCCTCCCAGCAGTGGCCCCACGTGGGACATCAAGCGTGCAGAGGTGAGCTCCTCACGATGACATGACATATATGTGCTGCTAATTTTGAGAGAGAGGGAGGAGTAACGGAGAAGGACAAGGAAACACAAGGCGACTGAATCGAGATAGGAGAAGTCTAAGAACGACGGAGGGCAGGAAATTAAACAATGGACCTTTTAGGAATAAAAAAGCGGGTATGAAGAAACGCTTCGCTGTTTAATTAGGAGCAACTCCAAGAGACTGTTTGTACCCTCCAACAACCTCTTTAAATAGATCTCTTAACGTAGACATCATTTATTTCAAAAATTCTCGTTAGCCAGAGATGGAGAATGAAAATGGCTCTCTAGAATGTGCATAATTTAGAGATGGTAAGAGGTTATAAAGATATAGAAAACGATTATTACTTAAACGACTCTTTCAATAATAATTTAGAGAAAGAATTTTAAAAAGACTCGCAAACGCAGCGTGTCCCGGAAGCACGTGTGGCTATCGCCGGTCGTTGAGCCCCGGTAAATCCTGAGTCGATACATCGTGCTGTCCACACTTTCAGTTGAGTACGACCGCGACCGATCCTGGGCTGGAGGCCTGCAGCCCAACAGCAACTGCCCCGCGATACCCTCACACGGTCACAGCAACTGCCCGGCGATACCCAACAGCAACTGCTCGTCGGCCAATAATCATTTCGGCAAATTTTATTTTGAGGTATATACGTATGTCGTCATCAACTCTTTTTTTTCTATGGAATCATCAACTCATCGTATGTAGACTGAATGGTTGCTTGTCTTTGTGCTTTCGTAATAGCTTCTCAGATTCGTTTTTGACAAATTAAGCGAACAGCTAGTAGCTCTATTCGATTAAAGGTATTGCCACATTGGTAGTTGCATATAGCTGTTGTACAAGCAACTAAACTCGTCGTCCAATCATCAACCAAAGCATCTCCACGAGTCTTTCTAAAATTGAATCTTTAAATTATCATTTAGAGTATCATTTGAGTAAAGATCGTTTTTATATTCTTATACCCTCCAACAATTTTTTTATATCTCATACAGAGTCATCCTCGCTCTCCATCTTTGGTTAGCGAGAAATCCGGAATAGAGTATGTCTATATTTGGAGATCCAGTTAGAGAGACTGTTGCAATATATTTTCCCCCCAAATTCTCTATTTCTATAAATTAGAAGAGATATATAGAGTTTTTGGAGTTGCTCTTAGGTCATTAGGTTAGACCATGTCGTCATCATGTCCCATTGATCATCAGTTGAATGGATGAACTGTGCAAGGGCCGAATGAATAAACCTTCTTTGTTTTTTATCTCTAGTGCAAAGGGGGACAAAAACTCACCCTTTCAACAAAAGCTTTAAACCATACGTATCTATCAAAGTCGAATATATATGCATTGATTCATCTTATATAATGATGAACGCCATTTGATCTTTAAAGACGCATGTACAAGAACTGATGATAAAATAATGCATCGTTGCAGTAGCATTGCAAGTACAGAGCTAGCTGAATGAACCTTTGATTAATCTTCAGTCAGAGAAGCAGCAGCTCGCGATCGTCAGAGGATGACGCACCCGTTGCCCGCGGCCTGCTCCTCGTAGCACACCACGGCACCGGGGAAAGGATGCGCGTGCGCCGGGACCAGAACCGGTGGTGGACGGCAGGCGCTGCAGCCGGCGCAGCACGGCGGCGGCGGCGGCTTCTTGGCCTCCTGGTCGGCGGCGGGTTTCTTGGCGGCCTCGTCGGGCTTCTTGGGCGGGCTGTTGTCGGGCTGCTTCTCCGGGCCGACGCTGAGGACGCGCGCCTCGAACCTGGCCTTGCGCAGCGCCTTGGCCACGCGAACCACGTCCACCTCCCCCACCACCGTCAGCGTCCCCTCCCCGTCCACCGCCACCGACTTCACGCCTACGACACCGCTCACGCACAACCAACCAATGCAGCACTACTGGTTAGGTTACGCCGGCCGGCCGCCATTGCAGCTAACAATCACAAGCAATGCAAATTCATGTGCATGTAAAGCGTATGTGATAGTTGATACCCTGGAACTTGGCGACGGTGCTCATGGCTTTGGCCTTGCACGCATCGCCGACGACGTCCACCTTCAGCACAATCTTCTGCAATAATCAAAAGACCCAGCAGATGTATTACTCAACAATGTAGAGCTAGCGATGCTTAGTTACAAGAACAAAATGTGTTTTTTTTTTTTGCGTTGGATTAGATGCAGTGAAAGAGGGCGCCAACCGAGGAGTACTAGCCGATGACAAACCTTGCAGTCCGGCATGGCGACAGAGGAGGAATCGATCCACCGGGTACGCCCGCCAAGGGAAGAAGAAGAATATGGAGAGGGAGGCGTGTTGTTCTTGTTCAATTAGTTGGGCTCCCTCCCCCATTGGTGGTGAAGACACGGCTGGGTTATATTATATGACGGTTAGGAGATACTCCGATCCTCTCGCTCGTCATATGACAATTAGCCGCCATCACTCATCAGACATGCCGAGAATTGCAAAATGATTTCCCTCCGATCCTCTCGTCTGGTTGCAGCGCGTACAGTAGTCATGATTGCGCAAAGGTCAACGACCAACGCCGCATCAGGAGATGCACTCCGCAGCTTGATTGGATGACTATGACAAATCAAATGAGCTTTCATTATCTATTAATTTCTCGTATTTTACATGTGTGAGAAACCACAGATTAGTAGCATTGTGGTAACGATGATATGGTTTGGACTGGTGATACTTCTTCAGGAAGTCCCACGGTGGCATTCTGATCGTTCTTTAGCAGGCATGGAAGAGGATGGCGTCGGAACGGAGCGGAGAAGTGAAGACTGAAGAGGTGACGGAGGGAGCAAGGAGGGCGAGGCGATGGATTGGTTGCGTCCGATTTGTCGTGCTGGTTTGTTGTGAGAGAAAAATATTATATTATCGCTGATGAACCTTGGCTGAAGCCAACAGGCAAACAGGCTCGTATGGCAGACCGGTGATCCTCCTCTGCAGCGCTCAGTTCGTGATGGCAAGCGCGTAGACTGCACGCAACCGGGCAACCTGATAGCCGAGGCGCACGCTGACCGACGCCAGGCGGTCAAAACTGCAACATGTGCAAATGGGATAGGCCGCGAGATCTATATCTACTAATAATAATGAATGAATTTCAGGGTAAGCAGTTCTGTTGTTACTTTTTAGACGAAGTGTAATTATGTTCTCAATTAGGAACAAAAAAAGTAGTACCAAGCTCAAAAGGAGCCTTTATGCGTGCTTGGATTGATGAGAATAGGGTCCATTTGAATCTCGTTCTTATAGTGAGATTCTGGATTTCAGACAGTAAATGTAGAAATCTTGATTAGTTTTTTTTCCTCGATCACGCAAAAGGTTTACACGTCTTTGTATTAAGGTAGAAAAAATTTAATACAACACATCTTAGCCCGCGCGTAGGGGGTTAGAAGAGTTTTATATGGACGCTCAGACTCTCCCTGGTATATGAAATCTTGATTAGTGAATGTAAAATCTTGATTTTAGATAAAAGAAAGAGAGATGGATATTGTATATTGAAAATCTCCAAATAGTAGGTTTGGGGTAGATAATTGGCTCATCCTAGAATCTAAGTGTTTGGAACTTATTCTCATTTTTGCACTCCAAACAGAACCTAAGCGACCCACCAGCTCTTCACATTTTTTGTTTGGTTATAAAGAATGAAATACATGGGGTGGAACTTCTCATAGGCCGACATATATAGGCACATGTAGGCCTGTTCGCTCAGCTGCAGCGACGAACTCCATTGTATGCATACTTAAACAACTTACTAAGGTTTGACACTAAACATTAGTGAAATTTTAGGGTGCTTGGAAAAACTAGAACCATTCACTTGTATAGATCAGATGGCTATAAAATAAGAAAAATCAAGGTAGTGGAACTTAAGTTGCGGACCGGAACTCCAAATCTATGGGTCTGGAACTAAAAATATATGAGCAAATAATTATTTCAAATAACTTTAAAAGGTAGAATAGTACTCTAGCTTATCTGCCCTTATCTCCGAGTTCTCGTCTCTCCTTTCTTGTCTCCGAGCGCAGGCCGTAGTCCTCACCGGTCGCCGCTGGTAATCTCATCCAGCTTCTCCGCCTCCGCCTCGATCTCCACCTGCAGCACCCTGGACATGTCGGAGGCGGCCTGTTTGGAGTTCCCGGCGTGACGATGACGCCGGCGAGGATGCTGAATCCCTGCATGGCGAAGACGGCGGCGATGAACCTGCCGCGGGTCTTCTTGTTGGCGTACTCGGACATGATGGTGGCACTGAGCGGGTAGTCGCCGCCGATAGACAAGCCGAGCCAGAAGCAGAAGAAGCAGAGCGTGGCCATGACGCCGGTGGGCGTGCTCCCGAACGAGAGCCCGGAGGCGAGGGAGCAGACCACCATGAGCAGCAGCGTTATGCCGTAGACGTTCTTCCGGCCAAGCCTGTCGCCGAGCCAGCCGAAGAAGAGCTACCCCGCGAGTGTCCCGCACAGTGCGACGCCGTTCACCATGGCCGCGACGTTGGGCGGCAGCGTGCCCGGGTCTGGCTTGGTGGGGTCGGTGTAGTAGACGTGGTCGAGCAGCTTGGTGACGAGCGAGATGCAGAAGAGGTCATAGACGTCGGTGAAGAAGCCCATGCCCGCCACTCTGGGAGGCAGCGAGATCTCGCGGCGCGCCTGCGAGCAGCGTTCGTGGAATTAGGTTAGGGATTTAGATTGTGTACCGTGTACATTAGGAAAAGTACTAATCTGCCCTTAATTATAATTAATTACTTTTCTTAATTTAAGACCTGCGGTAAATATTTTTGACGGGAGCAACCACCGGTTCCTCCGAGCACTGTAATAACAAAGCTCATAAGTGTTTGGTTTCTTTACCCGACTATGTTGAGGTCTGTGCTGGTAAGAATCTGCTCGCTCACCTAAGAGAGCCAGCGCTCGCCGGAGCAGCAAGCGAGGTGAGATAAGCGCGTATCGAGAACCGGTGTCTCAGTTGCTTCTATGACCGGGTTTTTTTTTTACCATGGGTGCGTAGATAAAACTCTATTTTCATCTTAATTGAGCAGAGCTCCGGCCTTTACTTTAAAAAATCGCGTATCGAGAACCAAGCAGCCCCTTAGGCGGCTGAAGATGCGACAAGGCAAAGATTCTCCAGGAAGCCAACCAAGGTGGAATGAGGAGAGGGTTTGTTTGTGGGCAAAATTAGAGGTGGGTAAACAACAAATGTATTAGCTAAGGAGCCATGGTGCAGATCTAGCACGCGAAGACGACATTAATCCGGACAAGGGGGGCATGCTCCTCGGCCAGAAGCGCTGTCCACGGCGACGTAATTTTTTTCCGTCGTTCGATCGCGGGATGGAGGGTGCTGATTCCTTGAATTAGCTTCAGATGGTGCTTAGTTTCTAGCTTCCATTGGCTTTAGTCTCCTATGTCACTTGCTTCGGCTTCTTGCCGCTTACCGGAGCGCCTCGGTTTCTGCCCGATCGGCCTTCTTGGCCCGACGACCTTGGTCGTTCCTCCTCTCGTCCTTTCACCCTCTTCGTTGCACATCGTCTTCCTCTGCTCGCTTCTCCTGAGTGCCTTCCGTCCGCCTCTACACCCTTTTCGCTGCACATCGTCTTCCCCTGCTCGCTCCGCCTGAGTGCCTTCCGTCCGCCCCTACACTGACGCCGCTTTGCTCCGCCGTTTTGCCTTTGGGTTCGCCTCTGCCAATGGCTTCGTTGGTGGATCTCATGGAGGAATAGCTGATTTGCGCCATTGCTCTGCTCCTTCCTCCGCCGAGTGTGCCGCTTCTTGGTGGATTCGGGTTGGGGAAAGGGGGGTCTTGCCAGAGTTCCATACCGCTATGCTTTTGTTCTCAAGCCGCTTTCAAATCTGCTTTCGGCTTGAGGTAACACGGCGCTCCTCCACCACAAATACACTCTATTCTAGTTACTGATTCATGTAGATTCTTACACTGATATGTTACTGCTGTTTTTGGTTCTTGCCACACTAATCAAGGGACGCAAACGGTTGTTGCAACTGTCGAGATTGGCCATGGTGTTTTTTTGAAAAAAAAATAGAGTGTGTCTAAATTTTTTTCAAAAACGCTCAGTTTTTTCACAAAGTGAATCGATTTTTAAATAAAACAAAATCGATTTGTTTCAACGAAATCGATTTGTTTCAAACGAGCCTCCCTGTGCCTCACCGATTTGGTTCAAAATTGTGACCATGTTCTCCTCAATTTTTCCTATCTCTCAGATATTGCGCGAGGTTGCTGCTCATTGCTTTGCACCTTATGTAGCTTGTATACATGAAATAGGTGACGGTGGCGAACACATATATGGGATAGAGGTTGAGCTTACGGCCAATGTAGTTCGTACAACCTCCAAAACACTATTTTTCCGGGCTCGGGATGCTTTACATGATAATTTCGCTTATGAGGCAAAGACAGATTGCAGACTCTTATAGTCTTACAGAGCATATATGGATTTCTGGTTATTGACTACAGCATCCATGGCCTGCAATTATATAGAGATTTAGCTCATTATTTGTTTCCTGTTGCTAATAGAGGGGCCCAGCTTGCCAGATTGGTCGTTGCAGCGTCAAATGAGGACCCAGTGTCTTTTTCAAATGTTGCAATGTTTGCGCAGCAGTTACTAGATGAGCTTACCTGTTAGTTTACCACGGTTGAGTATTAGGGTGCTTCTAAGTTTACATTCATCTTTTAGGTTTCACGTTTTTTTAGTTCTCCCTATTGTATGTGCAGCTATATTAATAAAGAGGTAATGCTGCTTATTTTGTTGCTTTCCAAATCTTCTTCTTCCTTATTTATTCTTTATGGCCACCTTATTGTTTCTTTCTTACCGCTTAAGATATGTCCACACCTTCTCCATTCTTATGTGCTTACATTATAAACAAAAAAAAAGGAAATCATTGCTCCACGTTCCTGGTCTGTTACCTTATGCATGATCATGTAATTTTGTTGTTGGTAAACCGAGACTACCTCATGAACCAGACCCACTAGATAAGCAATTGGTTATGATCTATTTTTCCGTCAAAAGACCTGCTTTCATTGTTATATGTCTATGATAAGATGCGCAACCTTCATCGTCTATGGAATACCAAGTTCAAATGCCTGCTCCGCTTTCGTGTATGTACACTGCTTTTTATGTCATTCGCCTTCTTATCTGACCAGTGTCCAGAGGTGTATCCAAAGGCCTGGTTGTTATATTGTTTTATTATATCTAACAATGTATGCCTATATTTGTCAATGGATGCTTCATCGCATATAGATGCCTCCT